AAATTGTTATCCCCAAAGCCTCCCATCTTCAATAGTCCCCCCCCCCCCCCAACTGCGCCATAGAAGAAATGTCAAATGTTGGAAATTGACTACAGAATGATAAATGAGAATTATTTTGTTTGAAAATTACATATGCCTGTGTGCCAGCATCTACTGCTATAAAAACCTTAATGAATTATAGTGCAACATGTATGTTCAGAGTAGGGACGAGTGGCAGACTTTTGTGAACACAGCAGTAAACCTTCAGGTTCCAGAAATGGTGGGGAATTTCTTGACTAGCTGAGAGACTAATTAGCTTCTCAAGAAGGACTCTGCTCCGTGGAGCAGGTGTTTTGGTGTTTTGGTTAGTGGTATGTGTATTATGTTCACTATAACAGCTTGCCACAATTCAGTCTCTCTTTTGCTTTAAACTCCACAGGTGCTCTCAGTTGATTGCTGTGGCATGCTGCACGTGGGCATGAGGGAACAAATTAATACAAAGTTTTGGTGGGCTGCTGTTGAAAAGGTCATGCAAAGAGTATGTCACACATGGGGTGATAATACTGAAATGGATTGTAAAATTATTTGTGATAATGAATTGGTTCAAGTGGCCCACAAAAAGCACACTGGTTTTCTGATTCTGTTGCAGTGTTGAGTCTTCAAATTTGTTACAGGCCATTAGCTTTAATTTTATGTGCATGGTGTTGAGGCTTAGTAGTATCACAGTAACCATCTCCAGTTTCAAGTAATCTCAAGGATGTCTTGACTTCTTTTTGCTGAAAGTTTTATGGCTAGAGCTTCCTTCTGTTTTGCATGAATTTATATGTTGCAGTGTGAGTCTACTTTGGAAGTGGGAAGAAAGGTCATGTTGTAAAGGAAGACAAGGGAATTGAAGCATGTAACTAGACGGACAGGGACAGGCAAAAAAAAAAAACAGTTCTGAAGCATTTTTCTGACAGCTTTCAAGATGGCAGTATCATGATATTTGTGTAGCATGTTCTATGAAGATTGTAATTATATATTTTCTCATTGCAGCAAGAAGAAACAACTGGCCCCCACTTCCTGAAAAATGTTGTTTTCAGCCATGCTTCTACCAAGACATTAATGTTGACATACCTCTAGAGTTTCAGAAGATAGTACGATTGTTGTACTACCTGTGGATGTGTAAGTCAGGGTTCCATTCTATCATAAGGATATTAAGAAGTCCGATATATGACACTTTGAGCGGTCAGTTTCTTATTTGTGAAGTAGGTCCCTTGTGATAGGGCACATCTTCAGGTTGTAGACATATGAAACAGCCTCCAGAGATGGAGGGTAGCTGTGAAGACATACCGTGTTGGATGTGCAGTCACTGACAGCTGGTAAGGGGTGGTCCTCCAGCCTGAGGTTTGATTGGGGGGCTGTCAGCCTGTCACTGCAAGAACTAGTTTCTTATGAATTATTGTTGTTACTTCTGCTGCTGCTGCTGCTACTACTACTACTACTACTACTACTACTACTACTACTACTACTACTACTACTACTACCACCACCACCACCACCACCAGTTTTTTTTTTATTTATGTGTTTGTTTTGTCTGTTTTCATTGTTTTGTATTCTTGGGACTATAAATATCAGCTGGTAGCTCAATTTTTCAAGCAGATAAATTAATTACATTAACAACAACAGCAACAACAACCAGTAAATCAGTACCATCATCAAATTATAATATTGGGTTACTGATATATTGTTCCAGTTCATGCATGTGTGATGGCTCTCAATTTGCTGGGAGGACTAGCATTGATGTTCAGCAGTGCAGACTTCACAACGTTTGGCCTCTCAATCTTATACCTTATACTCTTCACGCCTTTTTCATTCCTGTGTTGGTATAGGCCTGCATACAAGGCATTCAGGTAAAATTGTATATGCATGCATATTTTTTAATTTTGTTAGTCATAAAAGTGTTTGAGCCTCTCAAAATAGAGTGGGTGAATGTACAAATGATACTTCAAACTGTAAATGTCTTGTAAGGGAAAGGTTTTCAAATGGTAAGTTCTTGAGGAGTGTTCATTGTATGTTGTTACTGTTCCCGTGCCATCTTCCCTTGATTGAAGAGAGTAGTGTATGTCAGTTTTCATCAAGCGGCAGTTCATTAATCATGTGTCCTCTGCATCCAGATTTAATAAACATAGTCATACTTTCTTCTTCCAGTATCAGCTCATTTTCATGTGAATTAAGTTAGATGAGAAAGGATGGTGAACATAATTCTAGGTTCACTTCCTACAGAGGTTCTGTAGGTCTGAACTGGAACAATAGAAGGAATATAAGAGAGAAATGTCACCTGTAACCTGCCTGGCGTGATGACAGGCTAGTATGAATGTGCAGAATTTTAGATAACTTGTGGTGAACTTCTGTGAGGGTAGCTGACCTTATCATCTGTATATTGCAGTAGCTTACAGTTGCTGCTGAAGCCTTAATAATGTGTTCGCTTTGTGCGCGTGGCTGTAGGTGTCATTGATTTGGCAGAAGTGATTTTCCCTTTCTACATAATGAAATATAATATTATAACGTGTATAGCTAGGCAACAGCGCGATAAACACTGTCTTGCTTAAGCACACTCAACAATATGGCGAATGTTTATAGCTTGTTGCTAGGCAACAGTCAGTGCACCAATGGACTAGCGAGGTAGCTATCACATAACTCATTTCCTCTGTGGTCTGCCTTATGCAACAATAGGACTGTGTTTTCCATACGTGGTCGGTATGGAGGCTATATAACGACAGTTACAGATATAACGGTTTCAGTTTTCAGTGCAGTTCCGTTCAAGTGAGTTCTCAGTAGGAGACAGCCACGGGAAGTTCAGTTTTGAGTTCAGTAGAATGCAGTTCAGTTCCAGAGTGATTGAACAAGAATTGGCAAGAAGACTTCATAGTGTTTTGAAGTGCTAGTTTCAATGTTGAGATCCATTGCCAGGAGACGACCATTGAAGACAGAGAATCCTAGTCATGTGCAACAGTGAACTGTAAAGTGTGTAACTCAGCAATATTGCTGTATTTACTGAGAGGTTGTAACCAAGATGCTAATAAATCCAGTAATCTGAACTAGAACTCATAATTTTCTTTGCATGTACCACCCTACATGTGACAGTATGTTTGTTATAGCATATTTTTTCCTTAACTATGAGGTAATATCCGTTTTCTTTTGTTTTCAGGAGTGACAGTTCATTCAATTTCATGGTGTTTTTCTTTGTATTCTTTTTCCAATTTGTGGTCACTGTGATTCAAACAATTGGAATTCCTGGATCAGGCACCTGGTTAGTAATTGTACACTGAAAATCATGATGTAGCTATGTTTCAGTGACAGTGGTAAGTTTGAAGCTTAATTGGCATTTATTTTTTCAGTGGAATGCTGACTGCTCTTAAGTCTTTTGATGGCAGTGCTGGAGGAATTACACTGGGAATTATTTTACTTATTATTGCATTGTGTTTTGGGGCAGCAGCTTGTATGGATCTGCTCCTGTTATCAAAGGTAAATGTACAGAAATGGGAAATTTATTTATTATGGTTTATCACCATAGGGAATGGGGCATGGAGATAAAGCTCCATGTATTTCAAACCTTGTGACTAGATGGAAGTTAATAGTTAACTGTAGTCTCTGGCCAGTCTTATCCATGGACAGAAAAGAGTCCTTGGAATTCAAGGAATAGGAGTTTGGGTAGGTCACAGCAATTCTGTGTATAGTGGTAAAGATAAGAACCTCTTCTATGCCTGGAATTGAACCCTGGTCATCAGTGACTGAGTTTTGATGGATCACTTGTAGAGGTCCATGTTTTACTCGTATATTTAAGAGTGTTCCAAAAAATATGTTCATTTCAAGGGCTGTGTTCATACATGTGGCACTTTTTTGTTATGCGTACTCGCTGAGTTGTGACACTACAATTTTCCAAATTTCACAGGGTACACATTGGTCCTAAAGCAGGATCAGTGCAGTGTGTGTATGAGAGATGCTCACATTTGCATTGACCTTTATGCTTGTTCTTTGTATAGTACTTTGAATGACATGTTCACTTCATGCAGTATGACTTGCAGATTATCTGTAGAGGTATCATAACTTGGCAGACAAAAAAAGGCAACATACCATGCTGTGAAGTGTACATGTTTTCAGAGTACAGTGATTATGCAATTACTTCTGGGGAAATACAGTGGAAATGGAAATGGAGCACTGAGGTACTGAAACTAGCGATGCACGTATATTTCAAAATTAAGGGCTATGAGCAGTTTCCTTTGGGTTCTCCACAGAGAGAAGTATTGGGAGTTGCTGTGTACATTGAAACTAGTACCAGCATTAGACAAACGGCTGCACACATGATGGAACAGCAGACTTCTGTGGCAGGTAATAATACAGATTTCACTGTCAACACAACTATAATTTATTAACTTATGTTCCACTACATGTTTTGACCCTTATAGGGTCATCCTCAGGTGTTTTGATTTACACATTTTCATGATTGAATTGTAAAGTGTGTATACATAATTACATACATAGACTTAAAATGAATACTTTTTCTGTATATTAGACTATGCAGCAGAGCATACCACATAAATTTGACAACACAACAGTAATAATCAACCTCCTGGAAATAAGAAGGAAGATAAATTTATGCTTAAGAAATGGTTAACACAAGAGAATCTAACCAATAATAGAAGAATCAGATGGAAAGGTGTGTGGTCTACTACAGCGTACAACACTTTTAAATTAATTTAAAATCAACTTTTAATCTTCAGCTTTTAGTTCCATACATATCTTGTATTTAAATCAACATCTAGGTGCTAGAATATAAGTGTACATAGAAAGTAGTCATTTTAAGTCTATGTATGTAAATATAGGGTGTCCGGATGTAAGGTATCCAAAATAAGATGTGTATCTCGCAAACTGATTGTCATACACATATTCAATTTATGTCATTGGAAAGGAGAACTTGGCTTACGCGCGTACGCTGCCACATTTTTGCCACCATGTTAGGATTCACCTGGACAGAGAGGTGGCTGGGATATGAATTGGCAGAGGTGGACCAATCACTTGGCCTCCTAGGTCGCCAGATTTAACCCCAGTGGATTTTTTCTTGTGGGGTTATGTGAAGAACATTGTCTACCAGGTTAAGATCAACGACCTTCACCTGAAAGCCCGAATAAGGGACGCTGTGGCTACGGCAACACCAAACATGCTTCAAGTATGGATATTTGTCATGCCACCAAGGGAGCCCACATTTAAATTTATTGAGAAAGTTACATATGTAGAAAAAACTTTTATAGTTTCCCTTTGTAATGGTGTGACCCATTAATGTGTATAATAAATTCTTTCTGAGATATAATAATTTTATTTTGGATACCTTTCATCCGGACACCTGTATATATACAGGCTTTCCAATTCAGTAATGAAAATATGTAAATCAAAACAACTGAGGATGACCCTGTAAGGGTTGAAACATGTAATGGAACAAAAGTTAATAAATCATAGTTAGGTTGATGGTGGAAATTTGTATTATTAGTTATACTCACGCAACAGGATGCAAACATTACAAATTGTGTGGCAGGTGTATGGCATGTACCTGTACAAAAAATGTGCCCTTAAAAGGAGTGTACTTATATTTGGAACACTACGTGTATGCAAGGAATTTCCCCATTCACCAAATTCCATCCCTGTAATGTCATAGCAAAATGTACTACCTAGCAATTCAGTAGCTCAGCAATAAAACGTATGCTTAGAAGTGTTGTACAAATAAATGTACCTTTCCACTATTATAGAAGGAGCCGGGATAGTGCAGTTGGTATAGTGACTGGCTATGGGCTTGATGACCTAAGGGTCAGAGTTTGAGTCCCAACAGGGTCAAGAATTTCCTCTTCTCTACATCATCCAGACTGGCTCTGGGGCCCAACCAACCACCTGTCCAAGGGGTACTGAGGGATCTTTCCCTGGGGGTGAAGCAGACCACTCACCTCCAACTGGAGGTTGCCCAGGGCAAGAAAATGTGGATTTATACATCCACCCCCCACATGTCTTCAAGGCATAGTGCTTAATTAGTTAAGCACAGGGACAATTTACCCTTTTTTATACCACTATTATGGATGCTGAAATTTGTCAAATGTGCATTCTGTGTAGAAATTTTAACAGAAGTGCCTCATTTTTTAAGATCCGTTAAGAAAAATTTGGTAGTGGAGGGTGGAGTCCAGCTGGGTCCACTCAGCACGGCGGCCACTGATTGGCCTATTGTACCTGCCCCAGGTGATTATGATGATGGAGAATTTGGTGGAATGAAGATTGGCAGGGGAAACCGAAGTACTCAGAGGAAACCTGCTCCAGTGCCACTTTGTCCACCACAAATCCCACTTGACCAGACCCCGGGATTGAACCCGGGCCACCGCGGTGGGAAGACTGCTACTAACCGCTTTAGCTATGGCGCGGAGGATGGTGTTATTTCTCAAATTGTATGAGTTATTCCTTAT